ATAGATTTTAAAGAATTAGTAAACACTAGCATCTAATAGTTAAGTGCATCCATATTTTAAGTCCCTAGAATGTCCTGAATTAAATAGCTTCACGTTTAAACACACCATGTGTACAAGCGTAGTTCACGCGCTAAAACCGTGGACTAGTAGGGTTCAAATTTACATTAATAACGTGTGCTAATTAAACCAAACTGACATTCAAACTTAAAATTCATTTATTAAAATGGAAATGAAACTTTAAAAATGATACTTACAACTTGTTTGAAGGCTCTAGCAAGGGTAAAATCCGTTTAGCATCATCGGTCGTCAACCTTTAAAACCGTTCGGCGAGCAACTGACTCGGGGCTGAAAGTTGACTCGAGGGTTATATGCTTATTGAGGGTACGGCTTCGCGACCGTAAATCAGAAAGACTTGAATTTACAACACAAAGTAGTTATAAAAGTGAACTTTACATCGGTGTAAAGATTGAAACAGAATTAGTTTGTTTTCGTGTATATATCGTCATTTAAAGTTTAAAATATGATTTTTTAAAATGAAATAAGCAAGTTATTTTTTCAATTTATACATCAAACGATAGACTAGAATTCGCTCTTTAAAATGACATTAAGATTATGCTTCTACGATGCTTCGTCGCGAAGCCGCAACCAAATGAAACAGTGTGGGGTCGATCGGTACACGCAAAACGGTGAAATTTGTTGACGTAACTGATACTTTTCAAACAAATATAAAACACATTCAAACATGTGTTACAGATATAAAAATACCAGATTACGACAGATAAAGGCTTAAACTTTATTGACATATAATTTTTATTCTTATAGGACAACTAGAAGTAGTGAAATTTTTATTTTTGAAAACCGCAAAAACTGACCCTAAAACGCACTTTTTCGCCAGTTTGGACTACCTAGATCCATGCTTTTCTTGTTATTAATTAATATAGTAGTTCAGTATTATATTCAGAGAAAACTTTTTATTCTCTGTTTTTAGTGCATTATTAAATTTTATATTGTTATTTCATATATATGTTTCAGGCCGTCCCGACCAGGCCTTGCACTGGACTGTGTGTAAATCCTTTCTGTAAAGGACCATGACATGTGTGTTTTGTAATCAGCATATACCCGGCGTTGCCCACACTAAGCACAACCAACCAAATCCAAAACACAAAAAAACGCAAACAGAAATACAAACACAAACCAAATCTAAACTCAATCGCAAACACAAACCCAACCACAAACGCTAACCCAACCCAAACACAAAGAAAACACAAATGCAAACATAAACGCAAAATGCTTACATTCTAGTCAAGGCCGCCAAATCGCACCATGATGGGGGGGGGGGGGGGGCGGAACAGCATGTTTCAGCCTAGTAAACGACTATAGTACCCCAACTTATTCATAGTCTTTTGCACTCACTGAGACGAACGTAGACGCCCTATAGCATCCTGTCGGGGCTCCGGAAGAACGTCCGGATTTGAATCACTTAAAGACTATAGCAACCTTTCTTATCCATAGACAACCGCACTTTTTAAAACGATAGTATGCACCATAGCGCTCACTGGATAGCCCAGGGTGCCAAATCGAACCCTGCCCGGGCGCCGGCGGACGCGCCTGTTTCAATTTAGTAAGCAATTACAATACCCCAAGTTTATCTGCAAACAGAAAGAAGTAAACATAAAGGACATTTAGGAGCTGGCTTTTTAACTGTTTAATTTAAGGTCAACATAACTTAATAACATGATTGTCACTAGGGTCTCGTATTTTTAATAAACCTCACACTGCACTTTAAAGATGTCTTTACAAATCACACAAGCCATAATGTGAGATACACTAAGCCTATATTTATTTTCCTTCGTTTCTTACTTGAGTCGGGATTAGCTAAATCCGCTGGGCATAATGCTGACCAAGTGGCAGATCAAACGAGGGGTGGATACGGGGGGGGGTATATATAATGTTGCTAAAAAATGAGTACATATGTGCTAGTTTGTAGGTATCCAATTTGCCGTTCATTTAACATAATTGTTATCTTTTAAATTAGCAGTTTTGGAAATATTGGTGCCGAATGTTATTAGAATCCATTAGTATCTCGAATAATATTGTGATAAGAATATATATATATATATATATATATATATATATATATATATATATATATATATATATATATATATATATATATATATATCAGGGGCTCTAAAACCTTCAGCCCTCATCCCTTCATATTCCTACATCACAAAAACTGATGAGATGAGCCAATGAGCCATCTGGTTTGAAAGCTAACTTCTATTTTTATCACAGTAAAACAAAACGTACACTTGATAAGTTAATTCATTCACACTATAAAATACATGTAATGGATTTTAACAGTAAAACACAACACGATAGCATCAACACATGTTACTTTAATTCATTGCCAGGCGTCGGTATCAGCTAATTAATGTTTGTGAATTCAAGGTTCGCTAGTAGATGGGGGTCTTAGATATACGACAGCACTAGGGTTGTTATCTAAAGCAAAAACCACAACGTAGGAGGTAGAAATTTTAGAAATAGTGTTGTGTGTGGGAGTAGACTTTTCAAACATTTATTTGGCAATAGAAACAATAAGTATTTTTACTTTAAAACAAATATAACAACCATTATAATTAGAAGCTTTTAAATGTATTGAAAAAAAAAAACTTCATAAATAAAATTGTTGGTCGCTCATCAGAACGCTTATGAATTTTAGCGCCAAAGCTTTTATTAAAGTTTTTTTGTTGTTTTCTAAATTTTAGTGCTTTTAAACGCTTGATATTATAAAGGTTTACTATTTATGTTATTTTCCACTTTTAAGTCATACGTTCCGACTGAAGTTGACACTATATCTGAGAATAAATTTGATTTCGATAAACAACGTCCAATAGTTTGTGAACTCTTAAAGATGGTTAACTGTCTCTCCGCTTATAATCAACGCACCTCGTGAAATCAGCGAAGCATGAAGTAACAGTTCATCTACGACGGCCCCTTGTTATCTCCCCTTAAAATTTAATGATAGTAATTTAAAAAAAAAAATGTCTCTCTAATTAAAAAAAAAATGACATTCATGCATTGCCTTTGAAGTAGAACGTATCTGCAAAGTTTGACCAAAACTACTGCATTATAAATGGATCAAAATTGAGTTAGAAGATTTCCTATAAACCCACAAACGAACGGACATTGTGACCTGTGTAAAAGCTGGTAAAAATTGAAAAAAACCTGTTTATTGTTCGTCCTAATGTAAGAGGCATTGAAAAAGAGCACAAAATTATATATATATATATATATATATATATATATATATATATATATATATATATATATATATATATGTGTGTGTTAACTTACGTGTTGTAGGGCTGTTTATGGTGGAAAGGCGGGGGGGATGTGGTGTAGAATATAATACCGTTTTAAATTCTAATCATTACAGCCGAAACAATTAGAAAAGCCTTGATATATTCATGAGCAATAAGAGCATCTGCTTCACTTCTATTTGCATCAGACATTTTTAACCATCGTGTTCAGTTTGAAGAGAACCTGCAAGGTCGTATGCGGCAGGTATGGAAAACACGAATACTTCTTACCTGGAAAGGTAGATATTTTTTTTTTACTTTTCCACTTAACCGTAACAATAAATAAATGAATTTAAAAATTCAGATATTGTCAATGGAAAGAGTAAGTTCTAGCATAGTACACGTTACTGTTAACCAAATAGTACTAGTTTAATGCCCTGGATCCTGTTCAAATGAACAGGTTGACAATTTGTAGTGTGGCCAATGATCTATATCATAAAACTTCAATAACATGGTTATACTTAAGTATATTGATTTTAAACAGTCCAGATTTATAGCTTATATATATACATAGCAATTTTTTTTTTCTGGATTAGAGGTCAAGGCTGCACATGTGTACTGATTCGATACTGAGCAGGTCATTGTTGTGATCAAAGTTAGTATGATTTTTAAGGCAGTCTAATTAGTGTCTTGTGGAATGCTGACTGAAGATTATTAAGTGTCTAATTAGGGTGGAATGCTGGAAAGATGATTATTAAATGTCTAATTAGTGTCTTGTGGAATGCTGAGTGATGATTGTTATGTGTCTAATTAGTGTGGAAAGCTGAAAAGATGATTATTAAATGTCTAATTAGTGTCTTGTGGAAAGCTGACTATATGATTGTTATGTGTCTAACTAGTGTGGAATTCTGGAAAGATGATTATTAAATGTCTAATTGATGTCTTGTGGAAAGCTGACTATATGATTGTTATGTGTCTAATTAGTGTGGAATGCTGGAAAGATGATTATTAAATGTCTAATTAGTGTCTTGTGGAATGCTGACTGATGATTGTTATGTGTCTAATTAGTGTGGAATGCTGGAAAGATGATTATTAAATGTCTAATTAGTGTCTTGTGGAATGCTGACTGATGATTGTTATGTGTCTAAGTAGTGTGGAATGCTGGAAATATGATTATTAAATGTCTAATTAGTGTCTTGTGGAAAGCTGACTATATGATTGTTATGTGTCTAATTAGTGTGGAATGCTGAAAAGATGATTATTAAATGTCTAATTAGTGTCTTGTGGAAAGCTGACTATATGATTGTTATGTGTCTACTTAGTGTGGAATGCTGGAAAGATGATTATTAAATGTCTAATTAGTGTCTTGTGGAACGCTGACTAATGATTATCAAGTGTCCAATTAATGAGCTGTGGACTGCTGGAAAGATAATTATAAAGTCTAATTGGTGTCCTGTGGATTTATGGATCTCGACACAATCTAAATTTTTTTTTTTGTAACTATGTTGTGTTAGCGTCTATTGAAATATTTTCTGTATGAATATTTATCACACACACACACACATATATATATATATATATATATATATATACGTTTAGTTTTAAATTACATGCCAGTAATAATAAATCACCCAGATAATTTAAATATTTCTTTTACATTACTTACTGAATAGTCTGAGTATCGCACGACAGGCCGTCATGTCTAGTGGAAACGATCATTGTACCTCTAAATATTTGTTGAATGGTCTGAATGAGCCTAAGCCTCTTCCAGGGTGTAACTCGTCAGCAGCTAAGAAAACAGGTAAGGATTGTCCACATTATACTGCAATGTTTTCCTTCAAATTGCTTGGAATAACTAAACATAACGTATTTTGACTAGAACAAAAAGTGTGCTTTTTACGCACGACGGAGAAATTCATCAAATTTATGGGTGAAAATGTAATGGCAATAGTATAAAATAAACAAACTATTTTAGTGTAAAAAATGTTTTTTTAAGCGCAAAAGTGAAGGTAATCAAATTGATCGTTGAAAATGTAATGCTAATGGCAAGCACTAAAAATAAAGCATGCCCGATATGTTAACAGATGAGAGATAAGGTCACGTGACGACTAGCATCAGCAGTTTTTACTTACTAGTATGAACTGGGCTTGGTAAAATGAGATTCGGTCAATTATTATACAGGGTTTCCTTCACTCATGTATTTCCTGCGGAGTTGGGGGCTTAAAATTTAAAATATAAATTACATAAATTACATATTTTACATTTCACACTGGGAGATGTGTGGTTGTCCGCGGTAGAGGAGTTCCGCTACCCCCCCCCCCCCCCTCACCGAAAAGATGCCTAAAACAAACTCAGATTATACCGTAACGTACTAGTTAAAAACTTTAACCAAATAAACCAGAGCTGTCCTTAAGACACCCGTATAGCTTTTGATAGATTGTAGCTGTTTGTTAATTTATTTTACGAACACTTCCTTCTTCTGCGTTCATAATGTTAATGTTAGAAGGCATTCCCTCCACACAATTAAGTATATGAGGCGTTAACTCCAGTTTCAGTCTGCTTTTCTTTTTGTATCTGCTTCCATAGCAAAGATACAGACCTTCATGAATAGATGCCTTAGACAGATACTGAAACTGAGATGGCAGGACAAAGTGCCGAACTTGGAACTATGGAGGAAAGCTAGGCAGGAGCCTATAGGTGTGCAAATAAGAAGGAGGAAGTGGCTCACACAAATGTTACACGCCAAGCGCTTGAGTGGAACCCCCAGGGAAAGCGGAAGAGAGGGCGCCCAAGACAGACCTGGAGGCGGAGTCTTCTTGAAGAACTGAAGCCAATAGGGATGTCTTGGGAGATGTCAAAATTGATAGCCGAGGATAGGAAGAAATGGAAGGAAATGGTGGAGACCCTATGCTCCATAAGGAGCAAAGAGGACTAAAACTAAAACTCCATAGCCTTTATCCATCCAAGAACATATCGCAAGAAAAAAAGTAGCTGTTTGCGTTTGCAGTTGTCTCTCATAGAAGAGTTGCTGTTCTCAGCTGTCGAGCCTCATCTGCCCGATGTTCAAACTATGAGCTTTATCAACTCGACCAAGTCCATCGCTTTCTTTTATCATGAACAATTTAGTGATTTTATAAATCATGAATAAATTAAGGCTTTGACATATTTTCTATGTACAGGATCTGGCTGGTTTGTTTCGGCGTTTCTGGTAGTCAACGCTACACTGGGGGCTGGGATTTTAAACTTCCCCATGGCCTATCATCAAGCTGGTGGGGTTTTGGCCGCTGTGATCGTACAAACAGTAAGGAAATTAAAGTCTTAAATTCGAAAATTATTGTTGAACTTTTATCTGTTGTCTGTTATTCTCTTAGGTAATTTTAAAAATAATTATTCTAAGAAGTATTTTTAATTTTTGACAACCCTTTTGAAGTCGCATTAGAACGTGTTACGTTATGGCATGTTGGTTATTGTTATGTCCCGTGTATTATATATTTATGTTAGTGATGTCTCTTAAAGATGTAGCCTCTGTCGTTCAGGTAGTTACTTTGAACAGGTGCTTTTTATTAGCGGTACGCAGAGAATTTCGTTGCTTGTCCAATAAAGTGACTGAGTAAACTTGATGGCGTCTTTTGATGTAACATCCCGTTATCTAAATAGTGAGAAAATGGCAAATGATCACATTTTCACTTCATATAGCAAAAAAAAAGAAAGATTGACTTACTTTTTGACACTTCTCGCAAAAAAAAACAATTGAAAGGAAAAACAAAAACATCGTGGCCTATATAAAGCAAATTCGTAACCCTACCTTGTCTTTTATGAATGTTACTAATTTGTATTGCCTGAAACGTGTTTTACATTACTAATACATTTTGACACTTCTCGAAAAAAAACGAAAGCATCGTAGCCTGTAAAAAAAAACGATTTCATTTCACCTCCTTGTTTTTAAACTCATGTAATTTTTATTTCTATTCACAGGTTTTGATGGTATTTGTGGTGATAGCGATATACATAGTATGCTATTGTGCTGATACCAAGGGAAGCAATACCTACCAAGACGTGGTTCTCTCCATCTGTGGCCCTAAAGCCCAGCTGGCTTGTGCAATCAGTATAGCCATCACCGAATTCTGCACGTGCATAACGTTTCTAATTGTGATTAGTGACCAGTGGGAGATAAGTGAGTCATTTTGCAACAGCTTTTCAAAAACAGAAAAACAAAAAGGTGCCTCAGATAATACAAGATTGTGTCGGTTCTGCCCATAAACAATGAATACGTAAAAAAATATAAGTATAAAATGTTTCGTATGAAAGGTATATGTAGCCCTTGATACGTGTATATATATATATATATATATATATATATATATATATATATATATATATATATATATATATATATATATATATATATATTACAGCAAAGTAATATTGGTATTTTAATTCCAGTTTTCCTCAATCTTTCATACGATCTCTACTGTAACTCCAATCCATTCTACATGACAAGAGCTTTCATTATAACAGTCACATCGATAGTTTTTATACTGCCATTTTGTTTTTCTAAAAGAATCGATTATTTAAATTATGCGAGGTAAGTGTAGAAAAGGTTATTGCCATGTTGCGCAATAGGGTTATTAGTTTTAAAAAGATATTCAAACGATTTCGATGGTTAGAATGAAATGTTTGACTCGAATCGATGAAGAACAGGAATGCTAGCATGAAATATACGGGTTCTGTTTTAAATGAACATTATATAAAAAACACTGTAGATATGTATTACTTGTAATACAATTTGACAAAAAGTGTAATGAATTTAAAGAACATAATCATTTCATGTAGCGAAGTATTGTATATTATTTAATTTATTTCAATCATGTAGCATCATCGGAGTTATAGGTATCTTTTATGTAGTGGGACTTGTTGCTATCAAATATTTTCTTCCTCATGAAAATCAGGGAGTTATTACCACTCGGTATGTTTATGTTTTGTAATTCATTTCAATGTGTAACTAAAGGATATTTAAATAAAAAATGTTAATCCATTAATTGTTAATACAAAAACTGGAATGTTTGATTTTTTTTTACTTTTTAGGTTCTGTATAAAAATATGAGGATAAATGCGTTTGTTTTCAATCTTATGTTCAACGTATTTTTTTTTTTTCAATATCAGACCACATTCATGGATTGATGTTTTTCTTGTTGTCCCTCAAATCTGTTTTTCTTATGAGGTGAGTTTGCAAGTGTACATGAAACCTATTATCCCGCTTGGGAAATATGTAGCATCTTAATAAAATATCTTCTATTTTTATTTTTTCTAGTGTCATGTCTGTATCGTTCCCATCTACTCCTGTATGGCCAAACGTAACATGAGAGAGTTCTCTAAAACAGTAACACTTGCCATGATATTGTCTGCACTAATCTACACATTCACTGCAACTCTGGGATATCTACAGGTTTGTTATATTGTTGTATGTTTATCAATGAGAACAAAAAGATACATCATTTCAAATATTACAAGTGTAAACATAGTCATTAATATTTGAATTCGCATTTTAAAAACTTACGTTATCAGATTATGTAACTGAATGGTGTGTTGTAGTTGTTTTGAAAGATTAGGAAACATAATAAAATTATTACTTCCATTTAAATTGTTTCAGTTTAAAATATTTGACTTGCATTCATAATTTAATTACCGATTTATTTTTAATAGTTTTTTTTTAAATAAGTTATTTAATTTTACAACACTTTCAGTATGTCAATTTTCACCACATGTTAAGCTTTTGTTACTTAACGTGATTTAGTTGTAAAATATATTTATTAATTTCAGATGTTGAAAATGTTATTTCGTATTCTAGTAAGAGTTTAACATGAATTCCTTATTGGAAAAAAAAAATTCACCTCATGGATTTTCATTTTAAAATATTTGTAAACGGTTGTATAATTTTTAAATTTCACATCTTTCATTAAAGTTTGGTGACAATGTCACTAATGACATTTTGCTGTCATTTAATCCTACGGCTGAGGTGATGGTGGCTGTTGTTCTACTTGCTGTCAAAGCCTACACTACCTACCCTATTTTTTGTTTCCTTGGGAAGTAAGTGTCTCTGTATGTTAATTCTGCAAGTTGTGATTTTATCTAACAGAGGATACCAATTCGTTCATGAAGATCGTAAATGAACATTTGGGCTTCTCTGTAATTATAAGATTGATTAAAGGCTGTATTAGTTTTAAAAAAAAAACACGAATAAAAAGTGCAATAGATGTTCTGTATTTTTATCCTAAATTTACAATTAAAACTATAGCTTTGGCTATATACGATTGTGTAAAGGCTGCATTAATTTCTTTTAAAAACTGGAACAAATAGTTTAAAAGATGTTATTCATTTTGATCCTAAATTTATAATCTATATTCTATAACATAAAGCTCGTGTTAGTGTGTCAGTCCTTCCTTCCGTCATCGCTATAAATTTTAGAACTATAAATGTAAACAACGAACCATGCAGTGTTTCTAAATTGCATTGCATTGTCTTAATATAATTAATAGCGTAGTGTTTTTTTCATAACGACATTAATTCATTAATTTATTTTATAGCTGCCACAGTTTTTACTCTGTAGCATAACGTAAAGAAAATATTAAATACACGCACACTGCTAAGAGTGTTTCTTCCAGACTTTTTTTCCGGGGCGGGAGGGGGGGGGGGTGGGGGGCACTTGATTTTTTTCGGGGGTGGGGGCGGTCAACATTTTCCAGGGGGGGGGGGGAACACTAGTAAAAGTATATTTCTACTATATAAATTCCATCTCGCTCGGGGGGGGGGGTAGACTTTCTTCGGGGGGGGGGATGGGTTAAGCCCCCCTCCGAAGAGATGCCTGAAAGAAACTCTGATTGCTAAACATATTAAACGGATCAATGTCAAATAATACTTTCGCTAACGATTTTTATAAAAAAAGTGTTCATTTTAATAACAGTAGGGTTATGATTGTAAAGACAGTCTAATTATTGTCGTGTGAAGTTCAGTCAAAATGTTTAATAATTATGTCAGGGGAGGTAATTTAAAAAGAAATTCAAATCACGCTAATTAAAAAAAAATGTGAATGCAAATTTCGGGGACGTTCAGCACCACATAATTGTTCAAATATTATAATAAGCATGGCTTGATAAAGTGCACTGTGGTAAGTAAAACACGGATTTTTAAAAATACAGCCTCATTTTATTTTTATAAGTTGGGGTATTATAGTCGTTTACTGAATCGAATCAGGCGGTTCCACCAGTGCCATTGCAGGGTGCAATTTGGCGCCCCGGGCTAGAACATGAGCAGTATGCGTTTATGTTGTGTTTATGTTTTGCGTTTGCGTTAGTGTGTGGTTTTGCGTTTTGCGTTTTCGTTTGTGTGTTTTTTTCAGTTCAAATTTGTGTTTGCGTATTCTTTTATGTTTTTTTTTTGTGTTTGTGTTTGTATTTGTGTTTGTGTTTTCTTTTGCGTTTTTTACATTTGTCTTTGCCCAGGGTTTTTTTGTGTGCTTTCGTTTCTGTTGTGTTTGTGTTTTTTGTTTGTTTGCGTTGTGTAGGGCCTATGTGTTTGCGTTTGTATTTAGCTTCGTTCTGTTCCCAAGTTCGTACATTAAAGAATGATACAGCGTTGCGGAGCGCGGGTATGCAGCTAGTTTAAAGTATGAAGCAATGTGACTGGCTCACGTGTTATTTAAGCATAACCGACGGAAAATTATTTTCATTTTGATGAATACCTTCGTATTAGATATTAGATGGGACGGCTAGACTGCTAGCCCAGAATTCTCGAGTTTGAATCCGAGTTTAAATCAGTAGAATCTGCTTGAGCGAAACCAGCTCAAATTGATACCTAGTCACGTTTTTATAAAATAGTTAATACGGCTGGGTACAGTGCTGATCACACTATCCCTTTCATTTGCTGAGGCCTCTGAAACATTTGTCTTGGGAACGAAGGGAACATATGGTGATTAAATATTAAATATGTTATATTTATCTGCGATGTTTGAAATTTTTAACGAAGAAACATAGTCTTAAATTACGCGTGATTTTTACTCGCATCTCCAGCTTGTAAACATTTAAATTTATACATGCGAATGTAAGTAATACGTCAACGCTTTCGTCTACCTTGTGTTTCCTGATTCGATAAAATTCTATTAACACAGGTCCGCATTCGACACGGTGTGGGGAATGTTCTGGAAAATGAGCCCAGAAGAGATTTTACACAGAGAAAAGACGAGACGTGTCATAATTACATTGGTGTGGTTCACCTTGACCCTGCTGTTCTCTATCTACATCCCCAATATAGGAGTTGCCGTAGAGATCCTCGGCGCATATATGGCGGTCTTTATTTTCGTATTTCCAGGTGTGTTGAAAAAAATGAATATTTTGAATTATTTTAACTTTTTGTCAGCATGGACGAAAGAATGGCTGGAAAAAACTGAATTTAAAGTTTAAATAAATTCCTAACCTAAGCTTAAAAAATAATATTTAATCATTTAAGGTTCATTCATTATTAAGGTACATTCCAGATAATACTATTCTATTTCTTAGGTTTATGTTTGTTGAAGACTATGCAGAATAGAATTGAAACAGGAGAGAAACAGCCCAAGACAGTTCACGTATTGAAGGGAATAGCCATCGCCTTTCTCATTGTTGGTGTGTTTATCTTTGGACTGACGTTGTCGCAATCCATAATGAAAGACATTCGTGGTGTCAAGCCTGACTCGTCCATATTCACGTGTCACTAGATTAAAGTATTATTACTGATATTATTAATCTTATGTATGTCATTTTTTTTCTGAAGTAATCATATACACAAAACTGTGTGTGTGATTGGTAATTGAGTGTAAGATTTAGGTTCGGACAAAATGCCAAAAAAAACAACTGTCATTATCATTTAAAAACCAATAACGCTTGTTTGTGTGTGTTTTTCAGTACCCAATCTTTTTTTAAATTACCATTAACTAATTATTAGTAATTACATATTTCGTTTACATTTTAAATAAAAAAGTTATATATATATATATATATATATATATATATATATATATATATATATATATATATTATATATATATATATATATATATATATATATATATATATATATATATATATATATATATATATATATATATATATATGGCCTTATATTAAATCATTAAGGAAACTATTAGTCATGTATACAACGAATTTTCAAAAAGATTTCTTGAGGGAGGCTAGCTCCCCTATATGAGAATCCATGTCGTAAAATGTGTGGTTACCTCCCCTTATATATATGTATTCTATGTGGTAAAAAAAGAGGCTACCTCCCATGTTAAAACACATTGGGTCGCTAATCAATAGCTTTTTAAAATTAGGTCAATGTCAACGTAACTCGATAACATGATTGTAACTAGGGTCTCGTGTTTTTAAATAAACGTCACTCTGCACTTTAAAGATGTCTTTACAAATCCATATACATGGAATATACACTAAGCCTACATTATCACAAACGAGAGTTTATCTTTATTTTTTTAAATGTATGGTTTATCCTTTGTTTCTTACTTGAGTCGGGACTTGCTAAATCCGCTGGAGACGTGTACAAGACACACCACGTCAATGTTACATTTTTTGTAAAATTATTTTTTTAGATGTGAATAATGAAGATGCCTATCAGCATATGAAGGAATAGTATGGTCAGTCCCATGTTCAGCCAAAATAAGTGTTTTTAAAAGAATCAAACAACATAACTACCTTTGAACAGGCGGGATTTTAACGAAAACATTTATGTCTAATAATTTTAAGTCTCTTAAATCAGCGTGTGCATTTAATATGTTGTTGAGTTGACTAATTATGTATATAATCTGGTTTTAATTGTTCTAATAGGTATTGGTGGTCTATGTTTTTTTAAATCTGTAGGATTTTTAGTTATTTAGCTATTTCTTTGCTTTGTCAATAATATCGTTCAGCGTGTAGTAAAGCACATAGCATTCTGACCAATTATATTTTTATATAATATTTATCTCAAACAAGTAGTCTATAGCATTAAAATATATAGGCCTATAATTCACGTGTAACGGATACCGACGGCTAATATATATATATATATATATATATATATATCTATAATATAAGCGGGCTGAGCGTGTGTCAGTCCTTCCTTCCTTCTGTCATCGCTATAGCTTTTGGAACCATAAAAGTAAACATTCGCACCATGCTGTGCTTTTCAGTGCACCGCAGTGTCTTATTATAAGTATTAGAGTAGGGTTTGTTTATATAGCGGCATAGAGCTATTTTATAATTGCCACGGTTTTTACTCTTTCGCATAACGTCAAGAAAATATTAAATACACGCAAACTGCTAAAACGTATTAAAAAGATTAATGTCAAATATCATTTTCGTTTAGGTTCCCAGAAAAAGTGGATACATTTCCATAAAAGTAGGTCGAAAAAACTAATTAATTCAACTTTTTTTTTGTGGTAATTTTTTCAAGGGAGGTAATTTGAAAATATATTTAACTCAACAATAATTTAAGTTAATCTTTTTTTTTTATTACTACCGCATTGATTAGTCTATGTTAAGGTTCATAATTAAAAGAGAAAAATGTTAAGATTATTTATACTATTTTCTAATTAGTCTATCATTTCTCAAAATCACTATTTTTTGTTTTTGTTTTTTGGTGTTAACAGATGGTGAAATTTTATAATTATAGTATAGATAATAGAGAATGCTGGAAAGACTCTCTCTAGGCGCGGACGCCTGGGAAAAGCGTGTTTTTCGGTGGTAATTCTAATTACATTGCCAATGTGTTTTCTTAGAACCATAAAAGTAAACACCACTTGCCGTACATTCATTTGCATCGCATTGTTTTATTGTAAGTTATGGAGTAGGATCTATTTATGTGACTTAAATTTTTAATGTTGGAAAGGCTGTCTTTGGGCGCGGACGCCTAAAAAAGCGTGTTGTTTGGTGATGATTCTAATGTTGTGGTTGTGTTGTTTTTTTTTGGTTGTGTTGTGTTGTGGTTGTTTTTTGGTTGTGTTGTGGTTGTTTTTTGGTTGTGTTGTGGTTGTGTTGTGGTTGTGTTGTGGTTGATTTTTGGTTGTGTTGTGGTGGTTTTGTGGTTGCGTTGTGGCTGTGTTGTGGTTGTGTTTTTGTTGTGGTTGTGTTGTAGTTGTGGTTGTGGTTGTGTTGTGGTTGTGGTTTGTTTGTGTTTGTGGTTGTGTTGTGGTTGTGTTGTGGTTGTGTTGTGGTTGTGTTGTGGTTGTGTTGTGGTTGTTTTTTTGTTGTGTTGTGGTTGTGTTGTGGTTGTGTTGTTGTTGTGTTGAAGTTGTGGTTGTGTTGTGGTTGTGTTGTAGTTTTGTTGTGGTTGTGTTGTGGTTGTGGTTGTGTTGTGGTTGTGTTGTAGTTTTGTTGTGGTTGTGTTGTGGTTGTGTTGTGGTTGTGTTGTGGTTGTGTTGTGGTTGTGTTGTGGTTGTGTTGTGGTTGTGTTGTGGTTGTGTTGTGGTTGTGTTGTGGTTGTGTTGTGGTTGTGTTATGGTTGTGTTTTTTGTGTTTGTGTTGTTTTTGTTTGTTTTGTTCTGTTCCAAAGTTGGTACATTTAAAAAAGATTTACCGTGGCGGAGCACGGGATGCAGCTAGTATATATATATATATATATATATATATATATATATATATATCAGCCTGGGGTTCCACCGAAGCTTAATCCGCCTCTGATTCTGACCACCTCATCCCTTCATATCCCTTCCTACATCACAAAAACAGAAGAAATGTACTTTTAACACTGGGCCAACTGGTTTGAGATCTAACTACTATTTTTATCACACATTAAAAAAAGGGTGCATTTGATAAGTTAATTCACTTACACTAAAAAATAAAATACCTGAAACGGAATTTTACAGTAGAACACATCGCGATCGCGTCAACATCAACACATGTTGCTTTGTCTCATTGACAGGCCTCTGTGTCAGCTAATTAATGTTTATGAATTCATGCTTTGTTCAGGTAAACTGTTAATGCAAGTGAACACCTGCGGAGATGGGGGTCTTAGATATACGACAACACCAGGGTAGGTGTATAAAGCAAAAAATACGACGTAGGAAGTAGGTATTTTAGAAAATGCTTTGTATCTGCATGTAGATATTTCAAACATTTGACAAGAGAAACAATAAGTAATGTTAAATTAAAATAAATTTTAAAACTTTAAAATAAAAAGCGTTTAAATGCACTGAAAAAAAAATAAAACCAATTTCGTTAATAAAACATTTGATTACTCATCAGAAACACTTTCTTGTTGAACGCTTAATATTATACAAGTTTTAATATTTATGTTATGTTCCAGTTTTTAGTCATTTTCGCTAAAAAATTTCAGCAGCTTGTGATCTCCAAAAGACAGTTAACTGTCTATACTCTGCTCATTATCAACGCACCTCTTGAAATCAGCCAACCATGAAGTTACACTTCACCCACGACGGCCCCTTAATCGAGCGTTAGCTACTATTTTACTTTGTTATCTCCCCTTGTAATTTGAATATAAAAATTATTAAATTAAAATTTAATTAAACTAAATCAATACTATTCATGCATTGCCTTTGACGAAGAACGTATCTGGAAAGTTTGAAAAAAATCGCTGCATTATAAGTGGGTTAAAATTGAGTTAGAATATTTCCCATAAACTCAAAAACAAACGGACATTGTGACCTTACTAAAACATGGTAAACATTGAAAAACGGTTTATTTTTCGTCCTAATGTTAGAAGTATTGAAAGTGAGCACAATGTATAAATCATGAATATCTATATATATAATTCTCTTCTGGGAGCCGCTAGAAAACAAGCTGTAAACGCGCTCCCTACCTCCCCACCCCTACATGGTCTCAGTGAGCTGTGTTCACTCTAAATGTTTACAAGCAGAGCCAACTATTTTAAACGTAGGGGGGGGGGGGGGGAGAGGGGGAAGGAGGGGGGGGGGGGGTTATGGTCCTTAACGAGCTACTTATAGTGTTTTAAAGAAATATTTTCAGTGGCAGCGTTGGTACTGTCGAATTCACAAATTATGAATTACTGAAAAGTAGAAAATAAAACAACTAAATAGCGGCGTATGTTATGCCGCGGGCCGGCTCGTATATATTAAAGGTTTACTTACATGCTGTAGGGGTGTTTTAGAATGAAAAGTTGGAAGGGAGGGGGGGGGGGATATCGCGGATAATATAATACCGGGTTAAATTATAATCATTACAGCCAAAACAATTAGTTAAGCTAGATATTTCAAAGGCAAATACAGCACCTGCTGCCCTTCTATTTGCATAAGTACGTTGTAACAACCGTGTTCAGTCTGAAGAGAACTTGCATGGTCGTTTACTTCAGGTATGGAAAACATGAATACTTCTTACCTGTACAGGTAAACATTTATTTTGTTCATTTTACGTCTTAACCGTAACGATGATTCAATCGGGAATTCAATTAAAAATATTTCTGTTTGGAATAAAATATAGTTTAAAAAATTGAGCAAAAATCTTTAAAAGGAAAGTGTGGTATAGCGATAGAGAACGTTACTTTTGACAAAATGGTATTAGTTTAGTACAATTGATTCTGTACTAATGATTGATAATGTGTTGTATGGTTAATGATCTATATCATAAAATATTAATACAATAACAAAAGTATACTAGACTTTATTTATTCTAAACAGTCAGAATTCTTACTTTCTTTAAATACATAGCAAATTTTTCCGGAGTCAGAGGTCAAGACAACTGGTTCTATGTA